CTCCGTCAACTCTAACTCCAAATCTAATATGGCCGGTTGAATAAACTAGCACGGGCTTCTTAACGCTAACTCGCTCAAAGAAGACGCCCTACTGTTAGCTAGGGTCCACAGGTATAGTTGTCTACTTATGGTTGCAAAATGGTGGTTTAAATGGATGAAGGCAGTTATACAAAATAATGCAAAACATTTGCAGAACACACCATATTTACATTTAATCTCCCTGTGATTTAGCTGGCAAGGGAAACATATCAAATACATCTGTTTCGCACAGCTATGATGTAATGTGCGTTTTGAACATTTTCCACTTTCATTGTGATGAAAGAGAGAATTAAAAACCATGAAAGCTAGCTCGCGTTCAGAATTCGGCGATTTCGGAACACGACATTGAAACAGGACACGTTCCTGTTAAGGACCAGGTTCGGTTTATTGATCATGATTTTCACTGCCACACAGAAAGAGTTAAAGAAGCCTGTCACATAAGGCTTTATCCGTACAACGAGAGTAGGAATAACAGAATTGAAATCCCTGAAACATGGATGCAAACTATTTAAAACTATAACAACCGATCAGAAACAAAACCCAACTATGCACGAGAAACATCTAATAGACAGAATGACAATGAGGATCGAAATACATCAATGAAAGCGCGATGTGACACACCAATACCAAAATATCAAGGTAAGGTGCTATAACTAGCAAAATGTAAACTACCAACCTCGTTGCCTGACAAAGACTAGCAGTGTCGCAGTTTCAACGTCGCGATCAATACACGATTGATTAGCCTGAATCTTACACAATGAGACAAACGATTAAATGTTCATTTATCAAGAAAACCGTTCTGCCCAAATTTGAAACAGTACCTTCGCACCTGGCCGCGATCTTGAGAAGAATCTTTTGAGAGGACCGCACCATTACCGTAAAGTCTCTGTCAGAGGCTGGCCATACTTGGTAAAAATAGGTTTCATATACGTAAAGTCTTTCTAGGAAACGAAAGTAAGTCTTGCTTTTACTGCATTTACCCCTACACTAATAAAAAGACCTCCAATGCAACATGCTCTGTTCTGCACGAAAGAAGGGAAAAGGGTTTCTCTTTTCTTCTCATTCCCTTTCGTTTGTCGGAGGCTGGATAAATTTTTAATTTAATTACAATAGCGCGTCGACTAAAACTGAGCCAACGCAGATAAATAAGTCGGTAACTAATTTTAATGAATTAACCAGTCTCAAAGATTGGACCCGTGCCTCCCTGATATTGGTTGGTTGCCACTATTGCTGATCTACTATTGGCAGCAGAGCAAACATTTCTGTTTTTCAAAATGGCCTCTGCAAAGTGCATGTTAACTGCAGACATACAGCTCGTCTTCTTCTCGAGTCTACGCCATACTGAAGCCTAATCAAGGCCATTACTTCCACGACGCAAAAGCAGAAATTAAAAATGCACTTAAAAGTGTTAACATCCTTGGTAAAGAACGCGGGTTAAACTTCATCAAAAATTTACCAGGAGCTTACAAGAGAACGCTCTTAAGTTCATTAACATGGGAAATGATCGTGGATGTGTAATTCAGTCCGTTAAAGGGATAATCACCCTATTTTAAATGATACAAACCCTAAAGGTTTCGTAAAAATTTCTATTCATGCTGTTTATCTTGACGAACTGCTCCGAAAAGCTAATTAACATATTTACCAACAATTTTTAAAGTGGTTTACAATAATCATCATAATGATATGACCTTTATAACTATGTTGAGACCTTTTCACCGAGTTTATGGGAGAAAAACTAAACAAATCCAATAAGAACTTGAAAGTAGATTGCGATTATCCACTCTAAAATATGTAATCATTCCTGGAATAAATTGGTCGGTATTGAATATTTTCCTCAATACTTTCATCCATGACACAAAACTGACATAGGCGGGGGCGAACCTGCTTTACTTCAGGGGCGAACTTTAAAAGATGGTGGAAGGCGAACTTCACATGAGCAAAACGTTCATAAACCAACGAAAATAAACAAGGTTAATTTGTGGAGCTGTTTCGATAAAATGTTTCTGACAAGCATAGTGCACTTTGCAATATACAACACCAAAAACCTCGAGAAGGTTACAGAAGCACAATTGAAATGCAACGCAAGTAGTGTAACTCTTTCACAAAAGGATATTTGACATCAAAGTCGTGCCACATTGAAAAGATCCAAGCTCTATCGTAATGATTCTCTGCAGATCTAAGATTGTGGTCTGCTTCCTATATGATTTGAACATAAAAAACAGAATGTTCATCGATGGCCGACATTTTAACCCTTTACATCCTAACATCAGTATGCATATTCTCCACACTGTTCTTCGCACGTTTCCTAAAGTGCCGACAATTTGTTTGCCAATCAAAAGGTTCCTTCCCTGGTAAACATTTCCCTTATTCTCATGACTTTCATGTGTGATTCAAGGCTGATATTGTAGGGAGATATCAGATGCTAGTCACTCTTAAGATGTAAAGGGTTATGCACTAGCCTTTCGAGGGTTCTAAACCTAACTTACTCGCTCTGAAGAAGGGCGAACCCTCCAAACGTCATA